AGGATTTCTCACTTTTTCCATTGTAATAATTACACCAACCCAAGTATCGTCTACAGATGCAATACGCCAAAGAATATCATCTACGTGCAACACGCCTATGTACAATCTCCAAGAAGTGGTAAAAAAAGGCAGAAACCAACCCATACAATAGACATTAGTTAACTCCATAAGCAATAATATTAAGAGTTACTGTGATATTAGGATTTTCCACTGATTTGGCAATAGAACATTATATTGCAAAACATGACACGATGCAGAAGAAAATCGATTTTAAAAATCAGAAAAAAACCATTGCAAATAATACATTACTTCATTTTGACAAATTTAGTAAATCACAAGTTAAATATTAACAGCTGTTTCATTAAAAAGTAGTGTAAAATTATACATATGGTCATAATGTAAACAAATCTGCTGAGGGGACTTTAAAGGCCTCTGGGGCAGAGCCCCAAGGTAATTTAACTTGTGTCTCTTTTGATTGCTCATCTACAGACCAAGACCTTTCTTTAGAGACCCCTACCAAGTTTCTACGCCCAGCCGTTCTTTGAAATTAGCTGTGACAAAAACCCGTTTTCCCCCCATAAGAATAACATGGGATGGGAATTTAAAGGCCACTGGGGCAGAGCCCCAAGGGAATTTACCACATTTCTCTTTTGATGGCTCATCTACAGACCAAGCCCTTTCTTTATACACCTCTACCAAGTTTCTACGCCCAGCAGTTCTCTCAAATTAGCTGTCACAAAGAAAAACAGTTTCAAATTAATATATAGATGCCCTCTGGTATAGACAGAGAGAGTAATAAGAACAACAAACATAATATTTATTTATGTTACCCAGATTCAAGAACTTTAATATTTATTTGCCTTTTATTTTGTAGAATGCCTTTAGTTCTTAAAACTCTTAAAACACTGATGCACATTTCGCCACAAGTTGAGGCAGTTACTCCTACACATTCAAAGTTTGTGAGTCACTGCACTATATATATCACATCATGTTGTATATGTTAGCTTCAAGAACGAATGCATTATACAAGATAAAAGGCAACTTAAACAAACGTTTACAAACATTTCTCTCCAATGCCAGGCTGTCTGATTAAAATATTAGGCCAGGCTCGGAATGACCCGGGGGGGGAGAAATCAGTAGTTATTAGTTATCAGAAATCAGCTGCTGACGACCATCATCAGCCAGCCCAACAGCCAGCCTACACGGTAGTCTCAACTTGGTACCGCGGCGCTTCTAAATTTGAAGGTTTCTGTACAAGACCGTAAATCATTTCCGAGCTTTGAATTTCCCTTTGAATTCTCTTGTCAGAGTCCCAAGACTGTAATGCATTTCAAGGACACAATCCTACGTATTTGAAATACTATTGGCCCATCAACGATAAAATAAGGTTCCAAAAATCCACAACATGGTTTTACAAATATAGTTATGTAAAAATCAAAAAACCAATTGTAGAACCTTGACATTCCATAAATGGGGATTCTAATTTTGCACAGTTTAAACTGGGTATTGCTTGACATTTTGAATGTTGTTCTAATGTAATTTTAAAATTTATTGAAACCAAATTTTCCAGTTCATCATGAAGATGTTGATTTCACTTCTGGTTCTAAAGTTGTCTTAATTTAGAGCCATAGTTCTTTAAAGGATGTTTGACGAATTTTTAAAAAGGTGATGACTGTTTTGCTGGACTAATTTTCTTTTTGGTACATATGAAACTAGTGAGGAAAATGATTAATCTGGATAATCAGTTTTGATGGGCACAACTGATATTTGTTAGAGTGCTGGGGACCCGGGTTCAATTCCCTCCAGTCACCGATGGTTTTAACTAGCATAGTGTCGTAGTTTGATGTTCCCTAGAACATCAAGTACCTTAAGTGGTGAGTCCAACTATTATATTTTTAAATATAAGTATAAAACATGACCTATTAGGCCGTACCCGCGAGGGACTTTATCTGTACAGGAGATATCACTCTGCAAAAATCTAGACGATTATGCATTGACTAAATTTGAAAACTTACCATTTAAGATACAATTGTTTACTAAATATCTCCAGTAAACACTTTTCCAAAACAGCTTTTTTTATAAAATCGTATGTAAAAAGAATCTATCCTTAAAACAACTCTAACACTAGAAGAAATTTACACTTCCATAAATTGTAAAGGAGTTTTTTTGTAAATTTTCGTGACTCAAGTTTTGTTCGTATTCAAGTTTATAATAAGCCAGAGAAGTAACTAATCAGCATAATAAGCCTGGTTAAAAAATTGTATAAAATCATTGTTTCATGCATTTTCTTGTGCAACGTCCCAAAATATTCAACACAACGTAACATAGGAGAAAAACGGTGTTCAGCGTAGAACAAGGTTGAACTATCATAATGGATCAGACATGACTCAATTATACTTTGCTGAAGTGACAGTGACAGTGAATCAGACTTCCCTGTCCCTAGTCTGTGCTGATTGCTGATTGCTGATGTTGGTTGTGGTCGTGGGTTATAAGGCTATCAGAGTCAAGGTCGTCTGCTAGCGGCCCACATTCAGGCCTCAACACTCAAAATTACCCTACGATTTCTCTTTCACTCACAAAATAAACAATCTACGATAGATCAAATAGTGCATAGATGTAACCTTTTAGCGAATTTCCCATATAGGGAATAAGCTATTACCGTAGGTCTCATGGTAAGACCTAGACCCAGGACCGATTTACTTTTTTGTTTTGAGGTCCCCAGAGGCCAAAAACACCATCCGTTCAAATTCATATATATATATCGTCCGTTAGCGCGATAACTCGAGCAAAATTGATCCGATTTTGATGAAATTTGGTACAAACGTGTAAACCTACATTTATTCGAACGAGTTCGCGAACCAGCATAATCGGACCATGGGATCAGTGGTTTATGGGGGGTTTTATGGGGTAAAAATGGGGTTTTCTCATTTTTGACCCTAAAAACTTTAAATTTCTAAATTTCTCTCTAGACCATTTTGAAGAGCTTAAAAAAAACAAATAATTTAGTATATTGAAGTGTTTTTGAATGTTCATTGACTACGGAGAAAATTAAAAAAAATTGTAAATTTAAAATTCCCATGTTATTCTTATGGAGAATAAATAAACTGTTCTAGTTTGCTTGTTTATGGATATATTTTAATCAAATTTGGCAATTTGGTTTATTTCATACAAAGCTATCAATATTTCAATTGAAAAAACACACCTCAACATCTTCCCCGTAGCAGCAAACCTAACTACTCACTAAAATTAATGTTGTTTAAATAGGAAATAAATCTGAAAATTTATAGGGAATATTTTAGTAGAAATCAAGCCGGGTAAGTGGAAATTCGCTTAGTATGCAGGTTTGCTGCGACGGGGGTACTTTATTTCATAATAGGTGCATTATTATAAAAATAGTCGTGGACAACAGTTTGAGTTTTATATCATCCTTCTATTATGTGGGTCACTTAGGCTATCTTAATTCATCATTTTGTAACATTTTATGTCGACAAATTATATGAAAACGAAGAAAATACGGTACTTTCTTTATTGACAGCATTAAATAAAAAAAATCATCCTCTGTTAAAAATAGTAATTAGTAATGTGACTTTACTGTAACTCATAATTTTCCTATGGCTTACTGTATAACAATAATTTACATTAATTTAAAACAAAATGGGACCTCTTAAGCAATACTTGATTAGAGGTTAAGTTACATCATAGCTTCAATTTTGGCTGGTGGTTTGATTTCTTTCAAAATGTTTAAGAATAAACAAGCAACGACAAAGGGCGTGGTAGCAAAAGAGTGCAACAGAATTGCCGCTGTGACTGGCAACGACGAAATTACCGCATATAGCCCGCTTATGTACACCGCTTCTGTACACCCAGTTCTTTTATATAAACCTGCTGAAGAAACAACTGCATAGCTGCATTTCAACTGGTGATTAATAAACACGATTTTACTTTTTGCGCTTGTTAAAGGAGCACAGTGTAAACTCTTCAAGAATTAGTATTTTAAATGGAAAAATATTTGTTCCACGAAAAAGTTATTTCTACTGATCCATGAAAATATTAACACTAACCTGAATGAATGGTACTGTCTGAAACTGACAGTATTCGTCAGAAAAACCACTTCACAGGTCATCTTACTATTACTACACCTATCCTCTAATAACATTCAAGTGAAACTCAATTGTCTCAATTTGACGATATTTATAATGGCAAGATAGAGGCGTTACAACGTATGTGTTGGTGTTCCACTGAAGGGTGTTCGGTACGTTTAAAAACAATTACAACCGTTTTACTTCGTATATTTTGGTTATTTGACCTAATTTAGTCAAAGCGAATATATTTTAATTGAAGGTATAATTAATATGTTGTGATATGAGCCAAAATTGTTTTTGAGTGTTTATTTTTTTCAATTGCCAAAACAGTAAACTCTGTATCCTTAATTGGTCCAACACTTGGTCAGCTTAGATAGAAAAATTAGTAATTAGCATTAGTATTACTATACTAATTTGAGAATTTTAACTCTATTGAGGCACATTGGGTAAAACCTATACCAAAGATTACATATGCTAACGCAAAATTTTGCGTTAGATATGTAATCTTTGCCTATACTATTAAGGGCCAACAACATTATACTATGAGCATGTTATCATTTACATTGTTTTATGTTTTCTATTTATGATTTGTGGTTTTCAATACCACTACACCCTTGTTCTTACAGGGGAACATTGTAAATGCAATGTCACTGTATGTACATACAGATTAATGTAGGCCTATCGCAATACAAGTGTTTTATAATGTCACTAACTACTAATATGAATTAATTACTACGATCTCTAACTAAGGCAATCTAATTAAGACAAATCGAGATTCAGTTTTAAACCATTTCCTTACAAGATCGCGAAGTGTAAAACTTCACCATCGTGAAATTCTGTTTGTGCAACGTAAACATAAGAAACACACATCCAGAAACATCTCAAAACCCACAATCCTTACATATTTTCACAACTCACCACTGAGGGCTAGGTTGGTGATGGCGTTCGCCTGCGGTGGCTTTGGCAGGACCATGGAGGGTTTCCTGATAGGGCGGAGTGTTGTAGAGTCATGTTTGGGGTGGAACCACGACCTGAACCTTCGTATCATCCTGGAGCACATGACCGGCGCGGCACGGCACTCACTGGACACTGACCAGCAGCCCAGCCCAGCAGCCAGCACCAGCGGCCCAGCGGGAATCTGCCCCCTCCACACTGCCCCCGAGGATACCAGTATTGGGCAATGCAGTTACTCACTCATTTTAATTGTTTTTTCAAGGGTCGTATTTTTTATTTCTAAATGATAATTTTTTCTAATCAGTACACATTTTTGAATGTGCAGTAGGCCTATAAGATCATCAAACACAACGCATTTATATGTGTGTGTAGCTAATCTGACGTAGCTCTAACCTAGGTTATACTTTATACTTTCTTATGAAATGGCGACCATACTATGTAGGTATTTTAAGCCAAGTATGAATGGAGATGAGTGTAGGATGAGTGGCGCGATCTTGTAGTCTTGTTAGTGACTAAGGCCGACATTCATTAGACACAGCTGTTAATTAATAGCCCAAACAGCTAATGGCAACTAAGGGACCTACAGTTTATAGTGGAATCCGAAGGTTAGCTCAGTATATTTTACGAATATAATAAAACTAGCAAACCCGTCGTGGCTTCACTCACGAAAATTTAAATTAAAAAGTTCAATGCAAAAAAATGTAAATTCTGAGTAGGGACTATACTTTTTGTTTGTTAATTCATTTAACTATTTAAAATGTTTTATGCAGTAAAACACTTTTTCTAGCCACCAAAATAATGTAAATATTATCATTTCATGGAATAAAATATAACCAGCTGTTCCCTTTATAAGTGCAGATTCAAAAGTATTCATGTGTTCAAATGGAAACAAATCTTGTCTCCATAGGGATAACATAGGAACTTTAAAAGCCACTGGGGCAGAGCCCTGGTGGAATTTCTTGAGAACGCTTCTTATTGCACACCTAGAGGTTGATTGGAACCTACATGCTAATTCCTGAGTTGTTATAGCGTATAGTTTTTTTTAGATATAGTGATCAGTGAGTGAGTGGTATTTGACTTTTATAAGTATAGATAGATATAGGTCTTTCAACGTCTTACAGTTTAGTACCACACTTAAGTAGATTGACAGAATAAGAGGAGTTATACAGTGTGGAAAAATTCGTGGAAGACATTATATTCATTTAACAACATCAATGCGAAAAATACTAATCAATAAGTTATTCAATAACATTTTCTATCTCTGAAAACGATGAAACCTTCAAGAACGAACACTGAGCACTCGTTTACAACATGAAAACATTTTGCTTGTTTTAGTCAATCAAGATTAAATTGAAGTTTATAGTTCATAAGTTAACACACAATTTCTTCATGGTTTCTATGATATATAAATTACAAAATGCTCTTCCAGTTATGCATTCAATCACATTTTCTGCGGCAAATTGAAATTTAAACTCTCAGACTTATTAAAGCTTTGTTAATAATGTTTACTATTGTATAACTTCAGGGACCATGAAAGTATTTAAAGTGTACTTGTTGTACTTGTAACTTGTTCCACCACAACATTTAACAACTTTCCGTGGATATTTCTGCAATGTGACCCTGTAAAATCTGCTACTCAATCACTATATCAAACTTGTGTTTGTACATTGTGTTGTAGAATTTGTGCTGGTTGTTTGTGTCGTGTGTTTTGTGCATTGTGTTTATTCACGAGAGGACTCTGGGGAAGTTTAAAGGAAATAAATCAACGCTATAATCTTAAAAAATATATATTTTACAGAAATTATTTTTATAACCAACACTATTATCGTGACGAGATCGTCGTGGGAGAAATTGTTGTTGGCCTAGTTTTTGAATATTGAAATGATTTACGGTAACTATAAATAAATAAGGTGATAAAATATAAAATCTGTAAAGGATTATGCTGCCTGCATGTATTGAATATTTACTTATACGCCCATTATCTATTATTACTCTTAAAACATAAATACAAAGTAATTATGTAAAGTATCAAAATCTTAAAATAACATATCATTTAGCCACCGGCAGTCCATAAACTCACAAAGGCATTGCATAAAGTTGTAATCATTTGTTCAAACATTCATTGCCTCTTGACATTCAAAAACTACCCTAGCTACTTAAGCAATTATCACAAGTCACAGGCTAGTAATATAAACTAAAGGTTTATTTCCCTGTAAACAAAATGCACTGTGTACAAACAGGGGCGGCAGGCTTGGGGCACCCATTGTTCTGGGAACAGGGGGATGGAGTTGTAGTAGTAGGAGGGGGAGGGGGAGGAGGTGGTGGTGGTGGTGGTGGAGGTGGTGGAGGTGGTGGAGGTGGTGGAGGTGGTGGAGGGGTGGTAGGAACAGGAGTTGTGACAATAATGGGAGGAACAGTTGTGGTATAACAGGGTGGTGGAGGTTGAGTTGGCCTTGGTGGTGGAGGTGGGCATGGTGGTGGTGGTGGAGGTGGGCATGGTGGTGTTGTTGGAGGAGGGGGGTAAAGTGGACATGGAATTGTTGGTGGTGGAGGAGGAGGTGGAGGTAATGTTGTTGGTGGAGGGGGGTGTGTTGGAGGAGGGGGGTGAAATGGACATGGACATTTTGTTGGTGGAGGTAATGTTGTTAGTGGAGGGGGGTGTGTAGGAGGTGGTGTTGTTGGAGCAGGAGGGTGAAGTGGACATGGAATTGTTGGTGGCGGAGGAGGAGGTGGAGGGGGGTGTGTTGGAAGTGGCGTTGTTGGAGGAGGGCGGTGAAGTGGAATTGTTGGTGGAGGGGGGTGTGTTGGAGGAGGATGAGTTGGAGGGGGATGTGTTGGAGGAGGACGTGTTGGAGGGGGGTGAGTTGGAGGGGGATGCGTTGGAGGGGGATGAGTTGGAGGGGGATGAGTTGGAGGGGGATGTGTTGGAGGAGGATGAGTTGGAGGAGGATGAGTTGGAGGGGGATGTGTTGGAGGAGGATGTGTTGGAGGAGGATGTGTTGGAGGGGGATGTGTTGGAGGGGGATGAGTTGGAGGGGGATGTGTTGGAGGGGGATGAGTTGGAGGGGGATGTGTTGGAGGGGGATGAGTTGGAGGGGGGTGTGTTGTAGGAGGATGAGTTGGAGGGGGGTGTGTTGAGGTTGTAGTTGTTGGAGGTTCTGTTGTTGGAGGTTCTGTAGTGGGAGGTTCTGTTGTGGGAGGTTCTGTTGTGGGAGGTTCTGTTGTTGGTGGTGTTGTTGATGTTGTTGTTGTTATTTTATTTGGATGCTTTGTATGTTTACTTGGATGTTTCAAGATGTGATACTTCAACCAAAACGTTGAACACCACATACCTCCAAGTAGAAATAAAGCCTGAAATATAAAATAGAATGTTAAAACATAAAAACATAATGCAATTTTATATTTTATTTGGCGAAGCTCTTTTTAGCGAGTGTACTTTAATAGGGAATGAGCACTATCTGTACAGGTCTCATTGCTTCTTTATAGCCATAATTTGCTAAAATTTGGCAAATTTATTTATTTTGTACTAAGCTAATAATATTTTATTGAACCACACATTTTTACCTTTCCCGTATCAGCAAACCCAAGTACTCATAAAACATAATGTTATTTCAATAGGGAATAAACCTGATAAATTAACACGTTCCTTTCCTTACCAACCGTCATACTCCTCGATATCTGAGGGATGAGTAAAGTTGGTAAGTTGTGAGTGTAAGGAAAGATCTTGTGAAAATCCAAATAGGCAATTGGAAATTAGCTTATCAGCAGGTTTTCTGCGGAGGGGGTACTGCACAGCTAGACTACATACAATTCTTAAATCTTGGCCGAAACTAATTTTATGGGCTACTTCTTGTAACTTTTAACGTCAATAAAAGCTGGGTTTTCCTAGACGCGGAGGCGGAGCGCGGAGAGGGGACTCCTCTAGTCTTAGGTAATTTAATGTTACTGTTTTCCTAGAAGCGGAGCGGAACGCCATGTTAATCCGGGTTTTCCGCTCTCTGCGTTCCTCTCCCCGCTCTGCGCTTCCGCGCCAAGGAAAACCCAGCTTTAAACGCTTTACGCTCCCCGCGTTCCTCTCTCCGCGCTCCGCTTCCGCGCCTAGGAAAACCCAGCTTTTATTGATGTTAAAAATTACAAGAAGCAGCCCATAAAATTAGTTCGTTAAAATGCCATAAAGTTGCAAAACTATTTACATCCATAAAAATAGCGTGTAACTAGTCTTTAAAAACTATCTTAACCAACCATTGGATCATCGGATTATTCTATGGCTTTTTAAAATTTATATCACGTTGGTTCTAAAATGTTAGTATTAAATTAGACTTTTCCAACGAGTCTTTTGTTTAAAACTACTCTACTTGGTTGTGTAGTTTTAAACACAAGACACGTGACACGTGTTTTTAGAAAGAGAAGGGAATGTTTTTATGCACAGCCCTGTTTTTTTGTTTTTTTTTTTTTTAGTGTGAGACTTTTGAATTTTTCAGACTACTCACTAAAAACCCTCACTACTCTGTTGGACACAGACCTAGAATTGTTTGTCACATTACTTCAAGTCGGGCCAACTTGTGACCTTAGCCAGGGCAAACCCCTTTTCTGGCTTGCCAACACAAGACACGTTGGAAAAGTCCAAATTTAATACTACCATATGGTGTTTACAGCCAGTTAAAACAAATAAGTGTAAATGGCATTTCTGCTTCAACCAAACAGTATCACAACAAGAAGGGTCGCCGGAATTTTATCCCCCTGGAATTTTACCCCCTGGGCAAAGCTGACGTCACTATGACGTAGTAACCTGAGTGGCCAAAAGTTTGTTCGCGGCCGGAATTTTACTCCCGCGGATTTGGAAGTCTAATGAAAATAGTAAGAGCGTGATTAATTAGATTAGCGATAAAAACCGGAATTTTACCCCCTGCCCATATAACTAGCGTTTAGGCAACTGAAGATGTACGGGCCGGATTTTTACCCCCGGAATTTTACCCCCCGGAATTTTACCCCCGGAATTTTACCCCCCGGAATTTTACCCCCTGGCTGAGTTTAGAAATTGAATGATTGATTTTCTTATTTCTGTTTTTAATTAATTGTAAACATTTCATTATTTAGTAGCCTATCTTTATTTATTTATTTTGTAATCTCAACTAAGTAAACAGAATTCGCTGTTTTATTTTGATCATATTAACCAACAGTTGGCTTCAAAGATCGAATCCTGACACTCGAATCTCAAAATTAATATTAAAACCCTGTTCGATTAGTTAATGTTACATATAAATTAAGATAGGCTACTTAATAATAAAATGTTTACCATTAAATTAAAACTGAATGACGATAATTAATCATTCTCACTAATTTATATCTGGCCAGGGGGTAAAATTCCGGGGGGTAAAATTCCGGGGGGTAAAATTCCGGGGGGTAAAATTCCGGGGGGTAAAATTCCGGGGGTAAAATTCCGGGGGTAAAAATCCGGGCCGTACATTCTAGGTTTTTATAATTTGATGTGTTCTGATTAAACTCACAACCGTGAAAATATATGTTTAATTCCGCGATTAATCCATCGAGCTGATGTCGCGAAACTCAAAAGTTCGCGGCCGGAATTTTACCCCCTGGTTTGTGACGTCACGTTTGCCCAGGGGGTAAAATTCCAGGGGGATAAAAATCCGCTACCCCAACAAGAAGTCTCTAATTTAATAACTACAGTCATGTATCTCACAGTTTTAAACTTTTTCAAAATTGAATTTCTTTCATTTTGTTTGTAAAAAAATTATAATGTTCCGAAAAAACTATGCATTCTTCTTTAACATCTTGAGTTTCTAACCAACAATGTTAGCTCTAAAAATACTATTAGACCAATAGGGTTCTACTTGGTAAGCTCAAGTCCGCAAGCTTGTGAAATATATTTGTGAATCACCAATTTTACTATTTATTTCAAAGGTTGCGTTCTTTTGACTGCCATTGAACAATGATAGTAGAACAAACCACTAATATTATAACCACTCACCAAATATTTTGTCATCTTTAAAATTGAATAAATCTTCTTTCGAATATTTTTTGATGATCGATAACTAATGGAAAAGTCATACATGTCCTAGGGCCCCAGTGTTCTGAAACCATAATGATACGTATAATTTAAACTTTGGCTACTTTTTTCATGTATTTACGATTTTTATTTGCTTTTCAATAAACTTATACTAAATGTAAAACTAAACTGTAAAAATGATAGCAACAAAGCCCAGTTTATAAATACAGATTTTCTCCTAGAGCAGATGTTTTAAGTTGTGACATCTGACTTGCGAAAAGTGATTTTTAGATGCACGTCAGTTAATGTGTGCTGAAGGGGTGCTCCAATGTCAATATAGTACTCCCTTTTACGTGTTTGTTAGCATTGAATGGTTTTTGGAATTCAATCAAAATCGTCCAAACAAAATTGACTACTCTTATCGGATTTTAACCATTTAAAGTATGATCTGTGAAATATGAATATACGTGATTTATCAAAAATATTGGAGAGATACGTAGGAAACATAGAGCTATAACTTAAAACTATATACTCAACGTCCAATACATGACAGGACGTAAAAAACCACTGATCCCGAAATTTATGATGTTTTAGGGAGATGTAGACTCCTAGAAACATTTTAGATATTTGACTTTTAAAATGTTCTAAATATCAAATAAGTTATACATAAAATTATTGTGCGTAATGCAACTAAAAATACTCACAATTGACTATTTCCATTACAGCCATTACATCAGTGGTCGTTATGATGTCAGCGAGCAAACTGTTTCATTCCAGATGCTGTGGTGTGATATGCCATTGTACAGGTAATTTGTATTGTCCACAGCAATGACCTTTTCGGTATTACCTTGTAGCATCCGACCAAAAACATGGTACATTTATTTATATGACGTTCATCCAGGGTCGAACTTACGTCCGGGGAAACGTAGCCTACAATTTGGGAATCCAGGATAGAGTTGGCTAATTATTGGAACTAAAATATTTTTCGGTAACGAACTCTAAACTTTTTATATTGTAAGAAAATTTTACAGGGTTTTCTTTGCTTTCCTGTGAGAATACACAGATTCTAGCATGTCAAAAAAAATTTTACTTATTTTGTTTAGGTAGGCTAGTGTATCATAGTTGGATTGAACATTTATTGTTTACCATATTTTCATTAGCACATTTTAGGTAGACATTGGACTACTATTCATTATTGGGGTTTTCGCTATACTGCAGCCGTTTTTAATACATACATGCATAGCGGATCTAAAGTGGCATTAGGAGTAAAAATCTTGTTTAGCCTTAGCCCCTAGAAAACAAAAATCAGCTGATGTCAACTCAGTTCAAAATTTCTTGTAAACGAAAGTATGTATCGATTGTTTAATCGATTGTAGTTTATTGTTGCCTTATTGTAAACTAGCTGTAACCCGCGGGCTTTGCCCCGTTCAACTTCTTAATTTTCAAGATTATCTCGTTCGCATGGCTCAATCACGTCCTGGTTGAAGTTTGTTCGCTACGCTCACTCACCTTTAGGTTGGAGCTCGTTCGCTGCGCTCACTCACCTTTAGGTTGGAGCTCGTTCGCTGCGCTCACTCACCTTTTGGTTGCAAATTAGCTGTTGTCATAAATGTAAAAAGAAATAATAGTGCTGCACCCTGTTGGTAATCCTTGTAACTTTAATGCTATTGAACATCATAGAACAGAACCAACTTGTTTAATTGAAACAGCTGTTAAGATTCAATAATTCCATTTCTCATAAGGTTAACATGGGAAACTCCAGAGCCACTGGGGCGGAGCCCGAAAGGATTTTTGAAATAAGAATATGCCTATATGTTAATCGGGAATGTGAGCTATCATCATGCCAAATTTCAGCCCAATCCGACCAGTATTTTTCGCGTTCACTTGTCACAAACATACATCCATACATCCATACATCCATCCATCCAAACTTTCTCATTTATAATATTAGTAGGATAGTTTGACATATCGATATATAATGTACACTAACACAATCAACGAAACAATTGAATCACTTACTAAACTCGTTTCCATTATCAAATTAAATTGAAAACAAGTTAAAAGTAGTTTTTTGAAGTTACTTCAAATGAAAACTATTTAGTTTTGTAACATAGTTTGTTCAAATAATGGTGCAATATGATGAAAATATAGTTCATCACACGGACAAAAAGTGTCTTTCCAACCCTCACTCATTTTCCGACTTCGGGCCGAAAAGAGTCACTTTAGGCCCTAGTGATGGAATATACTAGGTCGTCCTAGCGCAAAACAATAAATCAGTCAATACAGACGTATTGCATACCCAGTACGTGTGATGAAATAACTATTCACCACGTTTAACTATTGCAAGTAATAAATAATTTCTACCACCATATAGTCACCCTGGGTACAGTATTGTGATTTACTTCGTCTACCATAGCGGTGTAAAGTGTATGCTTTATGTCCATTTCCCAGCGCCCAGCTTCACACACGCCGCCAGCTATTCTTGTCCCTTGTACAATGTTCAATTGTAGCCTGTATACCACAAGAATGACTAGTGTTTTGACTCTACTGAGCTATTTACACCTAACATTTTGACAACACTACATTACATATTCTACAACAGGTCAGAAATAGTGAAGTCACACTTATGTGCATAATAAATGTTTAACCAGTTTAACTTATTGTTTTGAGTAACTGTGACACTATTTTAAAATTATTTTAAAAATATTTAGAAAATGTAGGCTATTTAAAAAAAATTATTTATTTTAAAAATAATTACACTATCAGCAGGGACATAAACATATAGAGCAACAAATATATCAAAATCAGTAAGTAATAATGTTACAGGAGAAATGGTATATTTCATCACTAGTTCGTAAAGAGCCTCTTTTGGACCCGAGCTGAAGTTTCAGTTTCGGCTAAGCCGAGGTCGGAAAATGAGTGAGGGTCGAAAAGAGTCACTTTACGCACTAGTGATTAAATAAACTATTTATTTGAACACCAGCAATCTTCTAATACAACCCATTGCAACGGTAGTCAGTAGTCATTGCAGCAACACACGTAGTGAAGACTATAGGTATGTATCACAAACCACGCACGACCTTGGGACTAATATTGTAAGATGAGTCAACCTCAAGTAAAAAAAAAGAATTTAAAATATAATTTTTTATATGTCTATTTTACTCTAAAATGCTGTTTGTTATTTAAGTACTTCATTGGTAAAATAAACCCTGTTTTGTTTTGTTGTATTGAGTCAATTGCTAAAGATAACTATAAACTAACCAACAAAAGTAGATCTCACCCTTAAGATGTATAATCAATGGTTTCTCATCCCATTGTAATATCTGAAGCTAGTTTTTCATGTCTAGTTCATGTTGGTGACACTGGGCGAAATTGTGTTATATTTATCATTATTTGTTGTTATATTTTATCATTTGCAATTTACTGTTTGGTTATAACTAAGAGACGAGCTATTAGGTATGTTTGATCATAGACTAACAAACACAAGTAGACTTCTCACCCAATTGTAAATTTTTAAACTCATTTTTTGAGTCTAGTTCATGTCCGGTGACATTGATCGCAAGTGCCGATTAGATTTTGTTTATATTATTTTTGGGTCAATTTTATAATTTGTAATAATTTACAGTTTGGTTATATAACTAGGGGACGAGTTATTTTTTATTATTATATCGTTATATTTGACTAAACAATGTTTTAAATAACAAGAATCAATTTGTAAACAAAAACACGATCCTAGCGGCATCGGACAGATTTTAACAGAACTATAACAGTAAACTCTTCTTCAGCAGATCCTTCATTCCTTACGGATAACAAATCTACTAAGGGGGTATATTTTATCTTTGGCAGGACTATCCAATAGTCAATGTCAGAACCCTCTACAGCTTCTGTGTCACACTCCAAAGCTAGCAAGAACAGGATGGGATATCCTATGATGTGAGGTCCACGTTCAGGGCCTCCATCGGAGGTCGCGACCATACTAGGCCAAGGTTATCTGGCAGTGATCCACCCATTCATACTATGCAGCTCTGCAAACATTTCCACTGACGAAACATAATCCGTGGAAGCCTTTGTTCAATTTGGCAATACCGATTCAAAGTGGTGATGCATTGTAATGATGGTACAAAAAATAGTCATTAAATAGAATAAAATTTGGCAGAACATGATGTGATTCATTATAAATAAACGGTATCAGCAATCTGACACATACTTTCTCCCATTAGCTTGTCCAAAATGAGGTGTCATTTTAAGCGGGTTTACATTTAAAGATTTTGAGTTTTCCCCAAAAATCCCCTATTTTTTGGGGACATTTTAAAATGTTCAAAATCATAAAATGAAACATCCTGCTAAGATTGCACTACCACCAAAAGGATATCTCTGTATATTTACTTAGAAAAATATTTGGTGGGGGTCTTGACTTTTTATTAACCCTATAAACAGTCGCATTGTCACAACTCGGGACCAGAGAGATCTCGGGATTTCCTGTGTTTTGAGGTTGTTTTTGAATCATTGAGTGTTATATTAACAGTAGGCCAAGGCTAAACCGTTGTTTGATATGGCTAGTCTGGCCTGTTGAATCATTGACTTTCGTCGTAAACGGAAGTTGAAACCTCACATTTACCAAGCTAGTTTTTACACGAGAAGATTACTACTATGGAAGATTTTTCTCTCTTTTGTTTTTCATTCTGCATGATTTTTCTAAACGCAACCAAAATAACAAGTATTAAGAGTCACTGAGTAGGGACAAAAAAGGTTGCAGGTTGGCACCTCTGCTTCCTTTAATTCATTGCCGTACAGCTGATATACATTGTTGCATTGTTGTCTACAATCTACACGGTTTAGTTTTAGTTAGAGAATTATTTCGAATAAAACCATTGCAAGCTCGAAGAGTTCTTATTGTAGAAGAATGCATAATAAATAAAACATTCATGTTACGGTAAAAAATGTTTGCAACTCAGTTTTAACGTGATTTTCGAGTATTTATTGAACAAATAAAGGTTGTATAAAATGTACAGATCAATAACACAGTACGTATTTTTTCATATATTTGTATTAATCAATCTAAAACAGGACTTGCGTGTGTTTTAAAAATATCCATTGTTATTTCAGGGTGTATACTATTTTATTAAAGTGAAATTCCAGGTTTTTTCCTGGTTTTTCGAAGTTTTTCCAGGTTCCCGCGTATTTGTTTGGTTCCACTTAAACTATAATCAATTTAAGACTTGCAGCTTGTTTATATTGTATACTTATACAATATAAACTTATATCAAATTTGTTTCAAAGTCCAGTGAGCTAGTGTTGAAAAAGTAATAATCCTTATTATAGTAATCATTTTCATTATCATAATTACTTAAGGCCACGGAAACATCTTCTCTCTCGATAGCAGCAAAATCCTGAATATTATCTTCATTTTTTATGAACACATTATCAACGGCGGCAAAATCCTGAATATTTCCTGTGGTCGTATGGTCGCTTCCCAGTGACGTAAACGTCATCACAGTCTTACGTTATCATAAAAAAATCCTGGACATCACCCGCAGTATGTATACATTATCGCCGTCTCTCGCGATCACGGAAACGTAATCATCGTCATCCACGATCGCGGCAAAATCAAGAAAATCTTCCTCAGCCGTGTGGACATCATCATTGACTCCCGCGGTCACGTAAACGTCATCGTCATCGACCGCGATCAAGGCAAAATAACGAAAATGTTCCGAGGCCGTGTAGACACCAACATTGACTCCCGCGGTCACGGGAACGTCATCGTTGTCGTCCACGATCTCGGCCAAATCATGAATAT